CTGCTCGGTGCCCGAGGGCCACTTTCCGGGCCACCTGGTGGACATCGGCGGCACCGGGACCCTGTCCCACAGCTACCAGTATGAGGTGTGTCTGAAGGGAGGTTCTGGGACCACCAGCGAGTTCAAGTTCCTGAAGCCTATTGTCTCTAATCTGCAGTCTCAGAGCATGGGGAGGGAAGTAGAAGAATATCCTTCATTTCGGAATGATTTGGGTTTCTAATTAAGACTGAAAAATAAATGTGAGTATTGTGTCTGTGAATGCATTCCTAAGAAACTTATCCTGAGTTACCTGTAGTGGAGTGCTTTCACATTGTTTAAAGTATTCTTAAAGTCACACAATAAATTTATTTACACAGAAAATGATCCAACTTTAGCCCTATGAACCTTCCACAAAGCATAGAATGTGTCTATTTATCTCTAACAATTATGCATTTTGTGCAGTCTATGTCGTGATAAATCTTGTTTGAGATGTTGTAAATTGTTTTTCATTGCCTCTAAAGTTTATAGCTACTTTTATCTTCTGAGTTGATTTCCATGTTGTAGAAATATACCTACCGAAGTTTTAGAAGCATAGATCATGGAATATCTTTTAAAGCTTTTTAAAAAGTACTTAGAATGTATCATACATTAACAATTTTAATATAGAAGTAAACCTAAGAGGGGAGGTATTTTGTAAATGAGCAAATAGATGTTTGCAGAGGTTCAGTAAGTTCACTAAAGTCACCAACTAAAAATGGCAGAGCTCAGCCTCTCTCTTAGATCTGTCTGATGCTGGGACCTTGCTATGATGCTATACTGTTTTCTGCCATTAGATATCACCTGCAAAGTTTCTGCCTAATTAAGGAAAATAAATCTCTTTTTCCTGTTCATGTTCCTCTTCAGTCTATTCAATATTTGGAAATAATAATATACATATTGGCTTTTTGTTATATTTTCTTATAAACCAATAATCCAGCTTTTCTAGATCAATTATTTAACTATTATTAGTAAAGCTCTGATCTAACCAAATCCCAAGTAAAAAAAATTGAAAAATCAATCTGTACTTTCTTCTTATTACGTGAACATATGACCTTCCTTTCACAGAAAATATTAATGAGCCTGAATAGAAATATTGCATAATTTTGATTGCTTCATTAGTTTATTCTTTTCCTCACACCACAGTAATTTTCTACAGTAGTCCTAACATACGTTTTAAACACGTTTTCCTCCTTTAATTTGAAAGTTTATTTTTAAAGTTCAATATACTGCAGTGCTGAATCTGGAAAATATAAGAAAAGGAATACTTTTAAATATGTAATATTAAAGAGAAACAAATTATCATTAAATTACTTAGAGATTCTGGGGAGGTAAGGAGAAGCTTTGTTTGGTATAATAATCTGTAACTGCTGTTTTTTTAACACTATCCAGATAATTTTTGTATAGCCGTCTTCTGAATATGTTATAAACTAATGCTGGTAAATCTTAAAATAGTACTATTACTGCATAATAGGATACAGTCTAAGGACAAAAAAAACCCTCAGTAAAATCTTAAGTTCTCATAGTGTCAGGCTAAAATTATCCAGTTTTTCCAACAAATCAATAACATGGAAAAAGGCAGGAAGGAATTTTACACAATAAAATAAATCAAGAGACATACCAACCAAATGTAATGTGAGTGAATCTTGTTTCAAACAACCATAACAACTGTGAAAGAATTGGAGAAATTTGAATGTAGATGATATTAAATAATATTAACCTAATTTCTTAGGTATGGTATGGATGGCATTGTAGGTTTTTTTGTTTTGTTTTGTGTTTTGGTCATTAAAAGTTAGAGGTGTATAATGAAGTGTTTATAGGTGAAATTTTAGTTTGTCTGGGATGTGGAAATGGGAGATCAACAATTATGGCAAAATATTCAGAATCGTTGAAGCTAATTATGAGTACCTGGGATTTATTCTACTATTTCCTTTAATGGGGTTTGAAATTTTCAAAAATAAAAGTTTTTAAATTGACGTTGTAAGAGGAGAAGTAGAGTTAAAAATAGGACATGCTTTTAGGTACAGAAACACCACCGCTGTCACAGATAATACCTCTATTAGACAAACTTTCCAGTCTTTCCTTGTTTAATCATTTGACATTATAACTTCTACCTGAGATAATACTGTTCATGCATTCTTCTACCATGTGAATATTGGGTGTTTTTCTAGTGATGACAATGGACTCATGCAAACTCAGCTAACTGGTGGCATCAAATTACATGCCTGGTGTGTGTGTGTGTGTGTGTGTGTGTGTGTGTGTGTGTGTGTTTATAAGGTTAATTTGTCTTTGCTTCAGTTTCCTCATCTGCATGGGGGGAACTCATAGCAGCCCTATGTAGTAGGTACTATTATAATCTCCACCTTACAGATGAGGAAACTGAGGTAGAGGTTAAATAATTTGTCCAAGGTCCACAGCTACTAACTATTCCCTTGTTCATGGCAATAAAAGTACATGATTCTGAAACTTTTCCATGTTAGTCCCTACTAATTTCATTTCTCTTGTGAGGCCCTCAGGCAATTGTCTGCCCTGTAAGGTCTGGCGATAGTCAAGGTAGTGTTGTAACTTGTACAATATAGGCAAGAGTTAGGACTATTGCATCCATTTTCATCCCAGAAGATGTAAAATCCTGTGAGGACGCGTGGTGGCGCTGCAGGATAAGAAGGTGCAAACCAGAACCTCAGCTTCGGCTCCATTAACAGGCAAAATTTACCAGCAGAGCTTGGAAGCCCAAGGGAAGCTCGGGTGCCACAGAAGAAAGACTGGGTCCTCTGAAAAGCACTACTCACCGGAATATTTCTGAGGCATCCTGTGGAATAATCACAGTCTCAAATACTGAGTTCTTTTCAGCTCAGCGGAACCAGCCTCGCCACAGGCTGTACCAAGCAAGAACAATGGAGGCCAGCAGGAAGATCATTTGCAAACAAAGGCAAGTCGTTTTGCTCTTTCTCTTCTTGGGCTTATCTCAGGCGGGCCCTGAAGCTAGGCGTTATTCTGTGGTGGAGGAAACTGAGGGGAGCTCGTTTGTAACCAATTTAGCCAAGGACTTGGATCTGGGCCAGAGTGAACTCTCCAGGCGGGGGGCTAGGGTAATTTCCAAAGGGAACAAACTGCATTTGCAGCTCGATCAGGACACCGGATATTTGTTGCTAAATGAGAAATTGGACCGCGAGGAACTGTGCGGTTACACAGAGCCCTGTGTGCTGCGTTTCCAAGTGTTGCTAGAGAATCCCTTAGAGTTTTTTCAAGCTGAGCTACAAGTAATAGACATAAATGACCATGCTCCGGTGTTCATAGAAAAAGACATGTTGCTAAAAATATCAGAGAGCACTCCTCCTGGCACTGCATTTCCTCTGAAGAACGCTCAGGACGTGGATGTAGGCCGAAATAATATTGAGAGTTATATAATCAGTCCCAACTCCTATTTTCGGGTCCTCACCCGCAAACGCAGCGATGGCAGGAAATATCCGGAGCTGGTTCTAGAAAAAGCGCTGGATCGCGAGGAGGAACCTGAGTTCAGGTTAACCCTCATCGCTCAGGATGGCGGCTCTCCACCTCGGTCTGGCACTGCTCAGGTCTACATCGAAGTCATGGATATCAATGATAACGCCCCTGAATTTGAGCAGCCTTTCTATAGTGTTCAGATCCCTGAGGACAGTCCCATAGGCTTCCTGATTGTCACGGTCTCTGCTACGGATGCAGACATAGGAGTCAACGGAGAGATTTCCTACTCACTTTTCCAGGCTTCAGGAGAGATTAGAAAAACCTTTGAGATCAACCCCATGACAGGAGATATTCGACTGAAAAAACATCTTGATTTCGAAACAATTCAGTCCTATGAGGTCAATATTGAGGCCAGAGATGCTGGAAGCTTGTCTGGAAAATGCACCGTTCTGACTCAAGTTTTGGATGTGAACGACAATGCCCCAGAAGTCACCATGTCCGCACTGACCAGAGAGATCCCTGAGAACTCGCCTGAGACTGTGGTTGCAGTTTTCAGTGTTTTGGATCTTGATTCGGAAGAAAATGGGAAAGTAAGTTGCTCCATTCAGAACGATCTACCCTTTTTCCTGAAATCTTCCTTGGAAAACTTTTACACCCTAGTCACAGAGAGACCGCTGGACAGAGAGAGCAGAGACAAGTACAACATCACCATCACCGTCACTGACTTGGGGACCCCCAGACTCAAAACCCAGCACAACATAACCGTGCTGGTCTCCGACGTCAACGACAATGCTCCGGCCTTCACCCAAACCTCCTACACCCTGTTCGTCCGCGAGAACAACAGCCCCGCCNATAATTATATATACATATAGTCACGGGACGTGGAGCAGAGTGTGGGAATGGAGTCAATGGAATTGTAATAGATAAGCATGATATTGGGGGTGGGAGGACAGTAGATGGGGGGTTGTTACTTTGTGAGGGGTGAAAAGGATAACTTGCATTATTCTGTACACTTGAAACTAACAATAAAAAAAATCAAAGTTAGTCCAAAAAAAATCATGAATAAGATATTAAAATTTGACATAAAGTCAGTGCTGTGGTAAAAAAAAAATAGGACTAGCAATCCTGTCTTTATTTAAAATGTTGATTTTTTTTTGGCATGGATTTATGCATTAATTTTGATTTTTTTAACATATTATTTTAACATGTTGTTAAAAAAGGACATGTTTGTAACTTTTTCATAAACTTTAAGCAATTAATTTCCTGCTATTATTGTTCAGTACCTAACACACTTAAACTTATCTCATCCATCCTTCACATACAGCTATCTCACTATTTGCTGGTACTGCTCTACACAAACCGAAACCTCCATTTATTGTTCCACTAACAACAGTTTTTTCTGATTTTCTGTGTGAAAGAAAAGAATCAAATTCTTTTTTATCCCTGTTATATGTTTCTCCCTTATACTTTTAAAACTCTTTCAAATGAACTTTTACTTTTATATAATCAAGGTTGCTGTTTTATAAGTCTTTTGTATGATAGGGCATTCTGCCCCCAAGTTTCTGTCTGAGTGGAAATTCTGACAGGCTGCTCTCTGTGAATCACTGCAGGACCAGGTTTAAAAAAACATCAGACTTGACTTTACGGAGCCTTGTGATGAATGGGCAGGGAAGTCTTCAGGATGTGGCCCTTCAAATGAGTGGATTCCAAAGGCTTTATGCTGGGTTTCCAAGATCTCCACTAAATGTCTTAGTGTTCTCCAGAAAGATTCCTTTTATTTCTTTAGAAACCAGCCTTATGGTTTTTGAAGGGAGGTCATAGGAGGAAATAATTGTTATTATGAAATATTAGTATATATGTTATTATGTATTAGTGTGTTACATAATGTATTACACACACTCTATGCATTTGGCCGTTTTCTAAATTCTTTATACATATCCCACTTAATCTTCAAAATAATGGTACAATTGGCACCCCCCATTTTAGAGGTGAGCAGCTGGGACATACAGAGTTAAAATAACTCACCCAAGGCCACCTCGCTAGTAAGTGGTGGAATCAGGATTTGAATCCAGGCAGCCTGACCCCAGAGACATTGCTTTTTTGGTTTTACTTTTTCTATTTTGAAATCTACTAAACATTTTAAAAAGTGTATGCAATGTATATGTGCAATTTAAAATAAAAATAATAAAATGTTCACCCATAGCTATCACCCAGCTTAAGAATTAGAACAATGCCAAGACCTTGGAAATCCCTGTGTGCTTCCTTCGTTACATCTTCCATCCTCATGAAAATCAACACCTATCCTGAAATTTTTATTAATTATTTATTCTTTATAGTTGTAGCAGATATGCATATGTCTCTAAATGATATATTATTTAGCTTTGTTTTTGAAATTTATATAAATGGATTAGTGTAGAATGGATCATCTGTGAGCTTACTTTTTTCAGTCATTAAGTATTGAATTCATCCATGTTAATGTAGTTCATTCATTACACTGCTCTATAGTATTCTATTGTATACACCTTTACCTTTGAATTCATTTTGCTGTTGATTGACTTTTGATTTACTCCAAGAGTTTTGTTACTATGAATAATGCTGCTATAAGCATTATTGTATATATCTCCTCATGCACATGGGCCAGAGTTCCTTTTGGGTACATGCACATCAAGGAAGGTACTACCTGGTCATACCAAGAACCAAAAAGATATCAAAGTGAATGAAATAGACAGTTAATAGATGCCAACACCAAGATGACAGATGTTAGAATAATCTGACAAAGATTTTTAAATGGACTTCAAAAAATGCTTCAACAGGGCAGGCCGAGTGGTGCATTGGTTAAGAGCTGGCTTGGGATTCCAGAGGGCCCCCGTTCGGATCCCACTTATGAGAGCCAGTAACACTGCCCTCTACAGCTAAGATGCTGAACAACAGCTCAACTTGGAGCTGGGCTGCCATGGGTCGCTGGCAACGGCATAGGCTGCAGTGGGTTGCCATGGGCTACTGTGTGTGGCCAGCAGCCNTGTTCTCGGTGCTGGCGTTCATCGCGGTGCGGCTGTGCAGGAGGGGCAGGGCCGCCTCGCTGGGTGGCTGCTCGGTGCCCGAGGGCCACTTTCCGAGCCACTTGGTGGACATCGGCGGCACGGGGACCCTGTCCCACAGCTACCAGTATGAGGTGTGTCTGACGGGAGGCTCAGGTACCAGCGCGTTCAAATTTATGAAGCCTATCGTGTCCAATTCCCAGGGCCAATACCCTGGGCCAGAATTAGAAGAAAACCCCAACTTTAGGAATGACTTTGGTTTCAGTATTCAGTGACAGTAATTGTTTATCATATTCCAAATATTTAAAATTGATCAGTTTAAGATGATGGTTTTTCTGGCCACCTATTATGAATTTTAAATTACACTAAACTTGCTTGCAACATTTCTTATATTAGTTTTTTGTTTTAAAGAATGATATGTTTTCTGCATTACTATAACAAGATGAATGCTCTTTAATCTTTAATCTAAAAAGGCTAATGAAGTCAGTAGTTGTACAAGTCTTTGTTCCGGAATAGCTTAGGAATGTGTTAGGGAAAATACAGGGAAAAGATAATTCTGTATAATTGATTGTATTTTCTTGAACTTTTTAGTTTTTCCTTATTAGTTTTTAAACCATTAGGTATGTATAAGCAGTAATGCACTAACACTTATGCTGAAGTATGCCTAACCAGAAAGGGACGAGAACTAGTACAGTGAGAATTTGCCTCTTGCTTTATTTTGTTCTCGTAGCACTTATCTTTGATAATGTTTTCTCTTAAAATGTTATACCAATTGTGCTTCCTTTCATTATTATACCAGTGTTCATTTTAATATAATTATTTTAATTGCTTTCCATTTAGTTTCATTGGTGAGGGAAAGTTACACCATATTTATCCAGTGAGATAAAACAGCGAAATAGTGAAACTGGCTTTTCCCATTTGCGAAACACTGAGCATCAGTGACAGAAAATGGAGTGGTCACCCAATATCCATTCATCTTTTCTTGTTTAGTAACAGACTCCAAATTTTACTTAGGGCATTAATATGCTTATTCAAAAGAATACATTTTGCCAACCTTCTTGGCAGCTAGAACAGGACACTTGACTAGATTTTAGTCAATGACATGCATATACAAACGTGGTAGAAGTTCTTGGAAGAGGACTCATCTAGGAAGAAGTCTCTTTTTGTCCTTAGAGGACAAAACTGCTCCTTGCTGCTTATAATGTGTAAGTCATGGCTGGATCACAGTCAGCCATGTTGGGCTATAAAGCAACACTGAAGATAAAAATAATGGACAAAGACAGTCAGTACAGAATAAACTTTAAAGAGATGAGGGTTCCTCATGATCATAGAGTCATTGTCTCATCCCTGGATTGCTTACTTCTGAACTTTTCTTATTTGAGAAATAAAGGAACTTCTATTTCATTTAAGCCACCATCATTTTAGTTTTGTGCTACCTCCAATGGAATCTAATCCTAATGCTTTAACATTAAGACTTTTAATTAAAACATTATATAAATAATATATATTACAGGTCTTAAGTGCACACATCAGTTTCATCTAACTGATCTTTCTTAAGCTTTTATTTTTTATTTCTAATTCAGTTAAAAGTAGTATGGAGGGTACTTTACATTCATTATCTTTTTAATCCTCTGCCAAACCTTAAGGAAGTAGGCATATTATCCCCTCTTTTACATTTAAGTAACTGAGGTTAAGAAAGGTTAAGTAACTTGCTTGCAATTCTGAGTAATAAAAGGAAAAATTTGAAATATATTCTAAGTCTACTTGAATTGAGCGCCCCAGCTCTTAACCTATATGCTATAATGGCAGGTGGTAATTGGTAGCATTGTCTTCCTAAGAAAGGAAGTGAAATCCATCTGTTCCATGAACTGAACTCATGTAGAAATATAACTTTTGGTCTATAGTTTGTATTTGTTTCTATACCAATGGCCACACTGCCTGGACCAATAAACCCAAAGTTCTTATGAAAGCACTGACCTATGCAAACCAGGAGTTTAGGCCAAAATTTATCTTCATCACAAATGACTCAGCCTGATGTCTTCCTGTACATTCTCAACATATCACATTCATTATTGCAGAAATGAATGCCTTGAATAGGGAGTAGTATTGCCCTATGATTGTTTTTCTTGAATTTCTTCTATCCATTCAGTCTTTTTTCATCATCCCTAAAATATATTTTTCATTTTCTTTGGAAAGTTGAAACTTGCTTTATCATATACATCTTTGTAATTCTTTCATTTGTATTAAATATACTGTATTCATTTTAGCATACCATTTATTTAAAATCAGTTGCTATTGTAGTATTAATTCTAAATTAACTAATTTGAGAGAAGTATAGGCATTGTTGTGGAGGTATTTTTATGACTAAATAATTTAGAGATTCCAGAAATTTAATAGGAAAAATGTATAGGTTCCAATTATTTTCTGTTACAATGAATGATATGTCTTTGGCAACTCCTCTTAAAAAGTATGCTGAAAAAAGATGTCGGGGATCACAAACAACTTTGTTTTGAAAGGATGGTTCACCAGAACTGAATCAGATATTTTTCAGCATTTGCTCTGATAATACTATTCTTGCAGATAGATAAATTTTTGTTGACCCAGCAGCTGGGTACATGAAAATCTATGTTTGTGTTATGTATTAGTTTTCTATTGCTGCTATAAAAAATTACCACAAACATAGTTGCTTAAGACAATAAGAATGTATTACCTTATAGTTCTGTAGATCTCAAATGTGGGTCTTACTGGGCTAAAATCAAGGTGTCAGCAGGGATGCATTCCTTTTTGGTGGCTCTAGAGGAGAATCCATTTCTTTTTGTTTTCTAGCTTCTAGATGCTGCCTACATTACTTGACTCATGGCCCCTTATTCCATCTTCAAAGCCAGCAGCATTGTATCTCTTTGACCCTTCTTAGTCACATCTCCTTTGACCATACCCAGGAAAGGTTCTGTCCCACTCAGATAATCCAGAATGATCTTCCCTTTACAAGGTACTCAATTCAATTATGTCTGTGAAGTCTCTTTTGCCATGTATGATAATATATTTACAGATTTGGGGAATTAGTGCATGGACATCTTTCAGTGCGTGGCCATTATTCTGCCTACCACAAATTGGCTACTTGGAAGAAAATTATCCAGTCTAGTATTACCACCTGTGGCCAAAGGCAAGCACACAAAGGTCTTTATATCAGGAGGTTAGGCTTCAATGTTTAGATGCTTTAATCCCAGACAAGGTAATTAACAAACTTCTCAAAATCCTTAACAAAAACACTGAACAGATATAGATATCATGAATCTTGATGGCAATTCAATTCAAATTTTATAAATGGAAAATCTGAACAAAATAATAAAATCTGATAAGGGACTTGTATCTAAAATAGCTAAAGAACTTTTAAAACTCAATTATAAAAAGACACATAACCCAGTTTAAAAATGGGTGACGATCTGAATGGACATGTATCAAAGGAAGCTATATAAATAGCCAATAAGCACCCGAAAAGATGTTTAACAGAATTACTCATCAGAGAAATACAAATCAAAATTATAATGAGATGCTACTTCATACCCACTAGGATGGCTAGAATCAAATAGACAGACAACAGCAAGTGTTCAGAGGATGAGCAAAAACTGGGATGCCGATGCACTGCTGATAGGAATGTAAAATGGTGCTGCTGTTTTGGAAAAGACTGGTAGTTCCTCAAGTAAACATAGAGACATGATATGACTTAGCAGTTCTTCTGGAGAAATGAAAACATATGTCCACACAAACACTTGCACATGAATGTTTATAGCAGCATTATTCATAATAGTCAAAAGTTGGAAACAACACAAATGTCCATCAACAGGTGAATGATCAAAATGTGATATATCTATACAGTGGAATATTATTCAGCCACAAAAAGGAAAGAAGTACCGACACATGCTGCAACTTGGAGGATCATTGAAAACATATTACGTTAAAGAAGCCAGTCACAAAAGTCCACATATTATTTTATTCTACCCTTATGCAAGTCCAGAATAGGGAAGTCTATAGAGATAGAAAGTAAATTAATTGTTGATTAGGGCTTGTGGCAGGAGGGATGGGGGAATTAGGGGAGGTGATAACTAAAGGGTGTGGGGTTTTTTGAGGTAATGAAAATGTTCTAAAATTGATTGTGGTGATGGATTCATTACTCTGTCCATATACTAAAAGCCACTGAATTATATACTTCAAATGGGTAAATTGTATGGTATGTGAATTATATCTCATTAAAGCTGTTTTTAAAAAAGAATAAAACAGAAATATTGTGCTTGTGAAACTGTTCCCATGTTACTTTGAAAACATTTTGCTCCTAAATGTATGTCCTTTTCAGCTTAAATGTTTATTATTTTACTTAATCATTAACCTCAACAGCTTTAGTCAATAACATAAGTGACAGTTGTTCTTTGTACTCCTCCTGTGCAACAACACAGAGGTCTATCTGAACACACCAAAATTACACAAAAATAGAACTCAGTGTTTTAATACAGAACAGAATTTACACAATCTATTCGGTGCATTCAGGAGAATTTTTATCCAACGTTAAACCAGAAAATACAAGACGCTGTGAGAACGCATGGTGGCGCTGCAGGTTAAATGATGGAAAATAGAATTGCCTACGCCGCTCCCGTATCCAGTTTCACACTGCCTGGAAGCTAAAGAACAGCTTTCTCAGCCAAAACAAGTGAGTGTAAAACCTCTTTAAAGCCTCCATTTAGCGGCATACTTCTGCCGTTCTGGACTTCAGTATCAGGCTACCAGGATCCTGGGCACACAATAAAGCTCCTGTGAACCAAATTTTCAGGAAAGAGCAATGGAGATTAGATGGATGCGCAACCAGAGACAAAGGCAAGTCCTAGTTTTCTTTGTTTTGCTGAGCTTCCCAGGGGTGGGCGCCGAGTTAGGGCCCTATTCAGTAGTGGAAGAAACGGAGAGGGGATTCTTGGTGGCAAATCTAGAGAAAGACCTGGGATTGAGGTTGAGAGAGATGTCCACCCGCGGGGTCCGGATCATTTCTCAGGGGCACAAAGAGTATTTGCTGCTCAAGGTACAGACTGGAGATTTGCTCATAAATGAGAAACTAGACCGAGAAGAGCTATGCGGGTCCACAGAGCCTTGTGTACTACATTTCCAAGTGCTAATGGAAAATCCCTTAGAGATATTTCAGGCTGAACTGAGAGTAAAAGACATAAATGACCACTCTCCCGTGTTTCCTGAAAGAGAAATGATTGTAAAAATACCGGAAAACAGCCCTCTAGGAATCGCATTCCCTCTGAGTAATGCTCTGGACTTGGACGTAGGAAGCAACAATGTTCAGAACTATAAAATCAGCCCCAATCCCCATTTCCAAGTTCTAACCCACAATCGCAGCGATGGCAGAAAATACCCAGAGCTGGTGTTGAACAAAGAGCTGGATCGGGAGGAGGAGCCTGAAATCATATTAACTCTGACTGCGATGGATGGCGGCTCTCCGCCTCGTTATGGGAGCACCCAGGTTCGCATTGAAGTGGTAGACGTCAATGATAACGCTCCTAAATTTGGGCAGCCGCTCTACAAAGTGCATATTCCCGAGAACAGCCCTGTGGGTTCCCTGGTTGTCACCGTCTCTGCCAGCGATTTAGACAGCGGAGTCAATGGGAAAATATCATACTCATTCATTCAGCCTTCAGAAGATATTAGAAAAACTTTGGAGGTGAATCCTATGACAGGAGAAATTCGACTGAGGAAACAAGTGGATTTTGAAACACTTCGGTCTTATGAAGTGGACATCAAGGCCACTGATGGGGGAGGTCTTTCAGGAAAATACACTCTTCTCCTGCAGGTGGTGGATGTGAATGATAACTCCCCAAAAGTGACCGTGTCAGCACTCACTGGCCCCATCCCAGAGAACTCACCTGAGGTTGTAGTTGCTGTTTTCAGTGTTTCAGATCCCGACTCCGGGGACAACGGAAACACTATTTCCTCCATCCAGGATGACCTTCCTTTTCTTCTCAAACCTTCAGTCAAGAACTTTTACACGTTGGTAACGAGCAGAGCCCTGGACAGAGAAGAAAGAGCCCAGTACAACATCACCATCACCGTCACCGACTTGGGGACCCCCAGATTGAAAACCCAGCACAACATAACGGTGACGGTCTCCGACGTCAACGACAACGCCCCGGCCTTCACCCAAACCTCCTACACCCTGTTCGTCCGCGAGAACAACAGCCCCGCCCTGCACATCGGCANAGAGGAAAATACCACTTTCCGGAATAGCTTGGGATTCAATTAGGGATCTATCTGATCATGATGCAGTGTCTTTTGTCACTTATCTCTAATTTCCCCAGATAGAGTTTGAGAGCCTCATGGACAAAAATCCCACCGTCAAGCATAACCTTGATTTCCCTTTTGTAATGTATTTGTCCATTGCACTTTATCCTGTCCAATTTTGGAAAACTCAGTTCTAGGCCATTACATTATTTACATAATACCATTTCATATTCATGCATGATGTTGAGTTTCCGGAAATGTTTGCTCCTCCTGTTGGCATTTGTTGCGATGAACTGTATAAATAAAATAAAAAATGTTAATTGCTTTTCTCTCTATTCGATCCATTTTTCATCACACTGTGAGTATATTTGATGCTAAATAGCAAAAATTTTAAAAATGTTTTTACATGTTTTTAAAATTTTGTTTTCAAAGCAATACATGCATATGATAACAAATGTAATATCTGAAAAAACATGAAACCAACGATCTTCTATCTATGGTCGTCTCCTAGCTCTCATCCCCACTGGCAAACATTTTGTTTTAAACAAGCATTTTTATTAAATTATAACATACATACAGAAAATGAACAAATTCTTAATGTTAGCTCAGTGTATTTTCAGAAAATGAAAATACTCAGCATCAGTATCTTGGTGAAGAAAGGAAACATAACTAGTATGTTATGCTGTACAAATTATCCCTACTAGTCCAAGTATAACAAATATCCTGACTTCCAATACTATAGCTTTGCTTGTTTTGAATTTATAAATGGGATCGTATAGTATGAACTGTTTTGTGATTTATTTCTTTCACTCAACATGTTTGGTTTTTTTAAAAGATTTTTTTTAATTGAGGAATTGGGGAAGGGGAACATTGTGTTTTCCCAGGACCCATCTGCTCCAAGTCAAGTTGTTGTCCTTCAATCTTAGTTGTGAGGGCTCAAGCTCAGCTCTAAGTCCAGTCGATGATTTCAATCTAATTGGTGGGAGGGGGTTAAAGGGAGAGTGAGGGGGGTTAGGGGGGAGTGAGGAGGAGGTAGGCGAATCCGAATCCTTGCTGCTAAGAGCAGGCGCTCTCACCTGCTCAACGGCAGCTCAGCTCAGGCGCAGCTCAGTGGGAATCTAACCTGTGACCCTATTGCTCAGAGCTCCCGTTCTTAACCAACTGAGTCACTTGGCCGGCTTCTCACTCAACATGTTTATGACATTTATCCATGATATTGTTTTGTAGTTCTTCATTCTCATTTGCTGTATAGTATTCTACTGTATGAATATTTCACAGTTCATTACCCATCCTACTGTAGATGGATATTTGGGTTGGTACAAGTTTTGGGTGTTTGAATAATTCTGCTCTGAACATTCCTGTGTGTGTCTTTTGGACAACATGTATTTGCATTCTTTGGGGTAAATACGTAGGGGTGGAATTGCTGCTCATTTAGTAAGTACATGTTTACTTTTCATAAATATTTCCAAATAGTTTTTAAATGTGATTGTAGCAATTTACCCTGCTGTCAGCAGCATCTGGATGTATCAGTTCCTCCACATTCTTGCCAACACCTGATATTGTCTGTTTTTCATTTTATCCCATTGGATATCACTTTTAAACTTTTTACTGTGTAGCTTTTCTATATTTACTTCATTATCAGTGAAGAATATGTTTGTCAGAGAAAGACAAATACCATATGATCTCACTTACACGTGGAATCTAAAAAACTGAATAAATGAGAACTGTAAACAGAAATAGTCTCAGAGACACNGGTGGCTGCTCGGTGCCCGAGGGCCACTTTCCGGGCCACCTGGTGGACATCGGCGGCACCGGGACCCTGTCCCACAGCTACCAGTATGAGGTGTGTCTGACGGGAGGCTCAGGTACCAGTGAGTTCAAGTTTCTAAAACCAGTTATCCCCAATCTCGCATTCCAGAGCTCGGGGAAGGAAAAAGAAGAAAATCCCTACTTTCGGAATAGCTCTGAGATTTAATTACTCATAGGAACCTATAAAAAGGACATTAACTTCTAATGTATTCTGTCCACTATCTAAATTGTTTATGCCCACCACCACCAATAAGGTGCTGTTTAATTTTCTCTATTTGGTTCATCCTCAATTTCCAAATTTATGCTTAACTTCACAAATTTTCTTTTCCTCATTTTTTAGCCCATTTTAAGTATTTCTTAATAGAATCCCAATGAGCGTAATAGGGTTTACCTTCAAAATTAATTTCATGAAATTTTTTCCATCTTATAAATGTCTTTATTGACATTCTATTTACATTTTTAGTTCTTTCCCTAGAATTTCTCCAATTATTAAACTGCTGCATGTGTTTGTACATTTATTATCTGATATTTTTTCTTTTTATCCTTTCAAAACTGGTATTTTTGTTGGTTTGTTATTGTTTTCATTATAGCAATTTTCTTAAACTGTGTTAGTTTTTTTAAAGTTTTATTTTCCCTATATTTCTATCTGCCTATTTAATATATAATATTTCTGTTACTTTGATATGATAAATATTAGACTTATCTAAAAATGAGAAGAAACAGCATTGTAAGATATTGAGTGTGTGTTTGTGTGTGTGTATGTGTGTTTAAGTTTAGAGACAAAAAAATTTAGGCATTCTATAGCATTATGTAGAAATATTTAATAATTTTGTGCTTTTAATTCTGTATGAAGAAAATCAGAGATTCTTGTTAAGTTTTTAATGGCTAACAATGCAGCCCTATTAAGTAGAAAAAATAGAAGTCATCAGGCAGAGATTTATATGGTATCACTTTTATATTCAATAGAGTGTTTTTTGGCAGTATCTAGCCCTTTCCCTGTATAATAGCCCTCAATTTGTTCTGTGTTTCTTGCTTATTATGGGAAAAATAGAGCTTCTTTCTAAATATTAGGCCTTTGAATAAAATTCTATCCAAGGCAGATGTTAAAATGCTGCTCTTACTTTCAATAGTGTTAGAATGGGCATTAGTATGGCCTACTCTTTACTACCTTTCTTTGGTGCAGAGAAATTAGATCCCATTAGATCTTAATTAAGAGGGCCTTTGAAATAAGCTCAGCTCCCTCTTTAATTCTGCAAGTAATTATAAAGCTAGCTAATATAAGAAAAACAAAGACATTAGAAAGAAAGGGAACAGAAATTACAAAGAATAAGTGAAAGAATACAATTTTCAAATGATAAGGATTTAAAAATACTGAAAATTATTTTATTTCCTACTCAAGGGTTTATTTATGCATGTCTGAATACAGCAAGCATTTAGTGAGTGTCTGATTTGCCAACCACAGATGAGAAAGCAGAATTTCCATCCTTAAGTAGGGACAGATTGGCATAAAATGGGAAGCAATAGTATTTACAGGGCAATATATACATTTTATGGGAGCACAGAAGAGGGATAGTAAATACTTCCTTCCGGATTATAGAGTGATGATTCTATTTAGGCAATGTACAATAATTATATTTTGAAGAAATTTGTTGAAGAAGTTGTGAAGCAAGTTTCTTTCATCAGTTTTTGGTGTTCTCATGCCCAGTGTTTCTTGAAAAGTAAACTCTATTATTTTGGTGGTTCCAGAAGTCACCACAATTTTCCCTTTGGTTCCTGGGGGTAGTGTTAGGAGTGAAAGGCCTAGTGCAGAACTAAATCTAGCACAATGAGTTAGATAGTTAACTGCTAGAAACACTGTTTTTGCAACTGTTGAATTTTAACTTTCCCCATGAAGCAATGAAAAATCTCAACAACACGAAGTGTTCTCCATCACAACATTATGTTTTACAAAACGGACAAAATAAAAATGGAATATTTAAATGAACCACTGAAGAAGAAATGTATAAAAATATACACACAAGTTGGGTACAGGCATTTGAGTCTATTGGAGGCCACGCGATGGCGCTGCAGGCTAAAGAGACAAAAAAAGAATTGAAGTGAGAATGCTGCGGAAATCCCTAAAAAAAAAAAAAGGAAGAAAGCGGCAGGAAGGCTGCTGGGAGAATAGCCGTAGCTGCCTAGGATTGGAGATGGAACAAAACCCCTACCCCATGGCGTAGGTCTGGGTTTTGCGACTGCTGTTTCTCTATGCTGGGAGCTGTGATTGTGACCAGTATTGACGAAAGATGTGTTCCAAAGAAGCTATGGAGGCTGGAGGGTTGTTCTGCCAAAGACAAAGGCAAGTCCTGTTTCTCTCTCTGTTTTGGGGAGTGTGCTTGGCAGGTTCTGGGTTTGGACAATATTCAGTGACAGAGGAAACGGAGAGAGGATCGTTTGTGGTCAATCTGGCAAAGGATCTGGGGCTAGGGGATGGGGAGCTGGTTGCAAGAGGAGCCCGGGTGATCTTTGATGATAACAAACAACACTTGCTCCTGGATTCTCATACTGGGGATTTGCTCACAAATGAGAAACTGGACCGGGAGAAGCTGTGTGGCTCCACGGAGCCCTGTATGCTGTATTTCCGAATTTTAATGGATAATCCCTTTCAGATTTACCGGGCTGAGCTGAGGGTCAGGGACATAAATGATCATTCACCAGTGTTTCGGGACAAAGGCACAGTCTTAAAAATATTAGAAAATACAGCTGAAGGGACAACATTTCGACTAGAAAGAGCACATGATTCAGATGGAGGACCTAACAGTATCCAAAACTATACCATCAATCCCAATTCTTTTTTCCATATTAAAATTAGTGACAGTGATGAAGGCATGATATACCCAGAGCTAGTGTTGGACAAGGCGCTAGACAGGGAGAAGCAGCAAGAGCTCAGTTTAACACTCATGGCGTTGGATGGCGGGTCTCCACCCAGGTCTGGGACCACCACTATACGCATTGTGATCCTGGATGTCAATGACAATGCCCCACACTTTTCTCAGGCAACCTATGAGACCCAGGCTCCTGAGAACAGCCAGGTAGGATCCATTATTGCTAAAGTCTCTGCAGAAGATGTAGACTCTGGAGTCTATGCAGACATATCCTATTCACTTTTTGATGCTTCTGAAGATATTCAAAAAACCTTTCAAATCAATCCTTTTTCTGGGGAAATCGTTCTCAGAGTGTTGCTTGATTATGAGCTGGTAAAATCTTACAAAGTAAATATACAGGCAATCGACGGTGGGGGCCTATCTGCAAGATGTACTGTTTTGGTTGAGGTATTAGACACCAATGACAATGCCCCCGAACTGATCATGTCATCACTTTCTAACCAAATTGCTGAGAACTCTCCTGAGACAATACTGGCAGTTTTTATGATTAAAGACAGAGACTCTGGAGAAAATGGAAAGATGGTTTGCTACATTCAAGATAATCTGCCATTCCTTCTGAGACCCTCTGTGGACAATTTTTACATTCTAACGACAGAAGGTGCGCTGGACAGAGAAAGCCAAGCTGACTACAATATCACCATCACTGTCACCGACTTGGGGACCCCCAGACTCAAAACCCAGCACAACATAACGGTGATAGTCTCCGACGTCAACGACAACGCCCCGGCCTTCACCCAAACCTCCTACACCCTGTTCGTCCGCGAGAACAACAGCCCCGCCCTGCACATCGGCAGNCCAGTGAAGCAAAGTCCTCCACAACTAGACTGAAGAACAAAAGGACAGCAACTTGTCTGTTCCCCTTCCCCCAACTCCCCAGCGCTGTTCCCATCCCCCAATTCCCCAATAAAAATCTTTTAAAAAATGCTTCAACAAGTAATTACAAACATGCTTGAAGCAAATGCAAAAATAGGGAGTCTGAGCAAAGAAATAAAAATTGCAGCAAAGAAATAAAAGATATGAAGAAATACCAATGGAAATTGTAGAAATTAAAAACACAATCTTGAAATGAAAAACTCAATGGATGAATTCAACAGCAGAATAGAGGGGACAGAGATTCGGTGAATTTGAAGGTAGAACAATAGAAATTACCAAGTCTGAACAATAGAGAGAAAATAGACTATAAAAAATTAACAGAGCCTCAGGGACCTGTAGGGCAATAATAAAAGATCTAACACTTGAATATTTGTGTCATTGGACTCTCAGGAGGAGAGGAGAAAACTTTCCAAATTTGGCAAAAGATACAGACCCAGAGAATCAAGAAGCCAAACAAATTCAAAACAAGATAAACCAAAAAAGATACACACCAAAAGGCATCAGTCAAACTTCTGAAAACTAAAGAGAAGGACAAATCTTGAAAGCAGCCAAGAGAGAAATGTCATGTTACCCATAAGGCAATGACAATTTGAATGACAGTAAATTTCTCATCAGAAGCCATGGAGATCAGAGTGAAACAATATTTTTCAAGTGCTGAAAGAAAATGACTATTGACCCAGAATCCTATATCCAGGAAAATATCCTGCAGGAAGAGAATTTTTTGTCTGTGGACCTACCCTAAAAGAATGACTAAAGGATGTTCTCCAAACAGAAAAGAATCAATTTTAAAAAGGAATTTTGAAACATCAGGAAAAAAGAAAAGACAGTAAACAAAAATGTGGGTAAATGCAATAGTCTTTCCTTTTCCTCTTGTGTTTTCTAAAATATATTTAATGATTGAATTCAAAATTATAACACTGTCTCATGTAGTTCTAAATGTCAGTAGAGGAAATATTTAATACAATTATATTATAAATGGGGGATGGTAGAGGGATGTCAAAGAAAGTATGTTTTCCTCCCTTCTGTGCAACTGGTGAATTGACGATACCAGTAAACTATGATAAGTTATGTACAGAGCAACCATTATGAAAGCTACACAAAGTGAAACACTTAAACCCACTATAGATAAATCAAAGAAGAATTCTTAAAAATGTTCTAATAATCTACAAGAAGGCAGTAAAAAGAAAACAGGGAAACAAAAAACAGAGAGAACAAATACAAAACAAAAACAAAATGGTAGACTTAGCCTCTAACATTAATAATTACGTTAAATGTAAATGGTCTGAACACACCAATGAAAACAAACAGATTGACAGAATGGGTTAAAGAAAACATGACGAATTAAATGCTGTTTATAGGAAGCTTCACTTCAAATATAATGATATAAGCAGATTGAAAGTAAAAAGATGGAAAATATATTATGCAAATATAAAAAAATAAAGCAAGAGTGGCCATATTAATGTCAGATAATGTACATGTCAGAGCAAAGAAAATGACCAGAGACAGAGTGGAACATTATATAACCATAAAAGAAGAAGACGTAGCAATCCTAAATATGTATACACTAAATAATAAAGTTGCAAAATATGTGAAGCAAAAACTGATAGAAATGAAAGAAAAAATGGACAGATCCACAAATCAAAGATTTCAACACCCTCTCTCAACAACTGACAGAGCAACTAGACAGAAAAGTCAGTAAAGATACAGAACTCAATAACACTATCAATCAATAGGATCTAATCCATTTCTAGAACACCTAGCCAGTATCAGAATACACATTCTTTTAAAATGCTCACAGAATATATGCAAGATAGACCACACAAATAAGGCCATAACACGAACTTAAATCAATTTAAAAGAATTGAAATCATTCATTGTGGATTCTCCAACCACAATGGCATCAAACTAAAAATCAATAACAGAAAAATAAGAGGAATTCAAATAGTTGGAAACTAAACAATACACTTCTAACTAATCCACGAATCAAGACAAAGTCTCAAGTGAAATTAAAAAAATACATCGAACTGAATTGGAAATGAAAACACAATACATCAAAATTTACAAGGCACAACTAAAATCGTACAGAGAGGGAAATTTATAGCACTAAATGCATACATTAGAAAAGAGGAAGTCTCAAATCAATCATCTAAGCTCCCATCTCAAGAACATAGAAAAAGAAGAGAAAAATAAACCAACAGCAAGCAGGAGAAACAGGAAGAAGGATATAATAAAAATAATAAAAGAAATAAATTCAAAACAAAAATAATAGAGAAAATCAATGAGACAAAAAGCTGATTCTTTAAAAGAATCAATAAAATTGACAAACATCTAGCAAGACTGACAAAAAGTGTTCTTCCACAACCATTTGAGATTTCAAATATGTCTAGCATCAAATCCTTTATATTTTCAAATTTTTCTGTGGCATATCTCCCATCAAATGAGAGGGTTTTTAAAAGTGATTACTTACACATCTTTATCTTTTCTCTCAATATTGTTTTCCTTGCATATAGCTAAATTAAAGATTTAGAGTTTAAGAACTTTCAATTCATCCTTTATCTTTCACTTTAAATAAACCTGAAGAATTTTGAAATGTTATAATGGATTGAAACATGTATAGCATAAAAATGGAAATCAGCCAGATCAACTATGTAACAATTATAAGCTAACTAAATAAAATTAAGTTTAGTATACTTTACAATATTCCATCAGTTAAAGTGCTATTTCAACTCACTGGTAATAAGCCAGCTGAATTAATCCTAAAACTATCTGTCACTTCACATTGGCATACATGAGCATAAGGAGCATGGGACATGGTGCTTTTTTACATCGCTTGTCTTTCCGTGTTGTGTCCAGAGGAGATCAAATTTTTGCCACCTAATTGTTAAAATTAACCTGGAAAATATGAGTAAGGTGATTCCCAGTGAATGACGGATATGTTCTATATCTTGAAAGAGGTGTGGGTTAAATGGATGGATCCATTTGTTAAAATGCTACAGTTAAGATTAGTGAATTTCAATTTGTGAACATTACATTAAGAAAAGAATATACCAAAGTAAACATTGAGTGGGAGGCAGAGAGTGGAGGGAAATGTATAGATGAAACAAGACAATATTGTGAAGCCGGATGATTTGTAATGGAAGTTTATGTTTACTTTGTATATGTTGAACTGTTTTCATAACAATCTTTAAATGAATATTCCTTGTGAGACATATTTATAAAAGCAAAGTCAATTCAACTCTACTCTGTAAATCCAATCAAAGAAAAAAGAAGAAAACAGAGAAACATTCATCTGAAGGAATCTAATGTACCATAGTCACTTTCCATAAAAAGGCAGTTTTTTCACATACCCAGCTGATAATCTTTGGGGGCACATTAAGATATTATCTTCTTTCTGTCGTAATGACCAACATTCTCAAAGACATTTCAATGATCTAAATTGAGTTTTACACACAGTGTGTACTGCTAATAAAATTTACTTTAAAATGAAAAATAATTCAGTAAGCTGTATTTGAGGGTGCCTAGTGGTACTTCAGGCAAAAAGAGTGAGTAAAGGATTCTGAATGCCAGTGATGCCACTTAGCTAGAATCAGAATGTTCACTGAAAGAAGGAAGCATTGAGGATTGAACTGGAAGTAGCTTTTTTTTTAGAGAAGAAATTAAACCCAACTAAGATGTTTAGGGTTGTTGGTTTTACTTTATCAGTTTGTTATTTATATTCTCAAGAAAGTTTATTTTCAGTAACATTTATTAAGTGAGCCATGGATGCTGGTCATGGTGATATTATTTTGATCCTTCTGGGCAGATAGAGGTGCTTTTCAACTACAAAATTATTTCACCTGTTCAGAGTTTAGATTTTATTTAGCTTGCTTTATTTTACCTAGAGTTTAAGTATTTTGGAGAATATCTTCATTTTAAATCTTCCATCATTTTGGCTCTTACCTGAAGTGAATTTTGCTTGAACTCAATTGATTTCACCTCTCAATAAATCTGAAATGAATCTGAAATGATTTATGTTTGGTGTATTTTGTGTTCTTATATGTGCACTGGCTCATTTCATGTATTTTCAGGATATTTAGAGATACATTTTCCTATTTATCTGAGCAGAAACTGGTGAGATAACAATAGATATAGCCATGATGAATCATAATTGAATTCCATGGTATCCACTCAAATGTAATTCACTTTCCACACTACCTATATTTATGTAGGACCTAGTGCCATCCTTGTTGTGAGAGGATGGTTGAGGTGAATCATGAATGTTTGTTTTCTGCATTATTTTGCATTGCAAAATAATTGCATTATGTTCTTAGGACATGATAATATATTTGGATCTTAGGATAGGAGGGGAATTTGATTTTTAAAGTTATAGTAAAATGAACAATCCTAATAAAAGCATGACCAGTTTGATCCATACAAAAATGAAGTAGAATCCTAAAACACTTACTTATGACAGATGCTTGATTGCTCCTAGTTCCTCTTTTAAATAACTTAATTTGATAAGATATTTCTATCATAAGCATTTCTTGGCCTCAATTTTCCTCCTACCTAACTGTTCCCTTTACTGTGCAGGTGTAACCACAAAACAAAGTAAGTCTGTTGTTTATGCTATTTTATCAGTCATATAATTTAGAGAAATGATTGTTTATTTTACCATCAGTGTTGCTAACCAATTTTTACATTTTGCATAGTTTGAGGATATGTTTGTTGAAACGATTAAATAGTGTACTTCTTGGATTCACACATTATACTGCTCATCAGAGATAGTTGCACTGCTAAACAATAAAAATTGATTATAGAGTGTTTACAATATCTGAGGGAGTGATTTTTAATTAAATGTTAATGTGCATGAAAACCGCCTAAGGAGAAAGATTGAATTTGAGATTTCCGTTAGCACCACCAGAGAATTTGATTCTACAATAGACCTGGAGGGGAACCCAGGAATTTACTTTGGAAAAACCTCCAAGACTCTCAGGTAATCCTTTATGAAAGTGGTTTGCCCACTCCAGTTTGAGAAACACCGACTCGACCTAAAAGTCTTTACAATGCTCAGATTTTGGAAATGGTATTGACCTGCAAGTACCTCATGAAGTTATTAATTTGAACGCGTGGTGGCAGTGCAGGCTAAGAGAGTAAATCCAAGTTCTGCAGATTCCGCGGACGCCATTTCACCGAGAAACCCAAGAAAAAATACAGAGCGCATTTAACCTAAAGCCAAGATAAAAGTGTTCAGAAAGGCAGTCATCGCTAAAGTAAAAGAACGAATTCGAAGCAAAGACCTTCAGGACGGTTGAAGGTGGACGTGGTGATTGGGAGTCCAAAAGGATTTTTCCTCTGCAATCACGCATAACAATAGAGATGGCGCAAACAAAAGCCCATCGCAAGAAAAGGCAAGTGGCGACCTTCATTGTATTCATGCTTTTGTGGGAGGCGGGTTCAGAATCTATTCAGTATTCTGTGTGGGAGGAGACAGAAAGTGGCACATTTGTTGCCAACTTGACAAAAGACCTGGGACTCAGGATGGGAGAGCTGGCTGCGCGGGGAGCCCGGGTTGTTTTCAAGGGGAACAGACACCATTTGCAGTTTGACCCACAGACCTATGATTTGCTGCTAAATGAGAAACTGGACCGGGAGGAGCTGTGTGGCTCCACTGAGCCGTGTGTGCTAGCTTTCCAAGTGTTACTGGAAAATCCCTTGCAGTTTTTCCAGGCTGCCTTGCGAGTCAGAGATATAAATGACCACGCCCCGGAGTTCCCGGCCAGAGAAATGCTACTAAAAATATCAGAAACTACTGCACCAGGAAAAATATTTCCTTTGAAAATGGCACAGGATTTAGACGCGGGTAGCAACAGCCTTCAGAGCTACGTACTCAGCTCCAATTCCCACTTCCACGTTCTCACTCGCAATCGCAGTGACGGCCGGAAGTTTCCGGAGCTGGTGCTGGACAAAGCGCTGGACCGCGAGGAGCAGCCAGAGCTCAGGCTAACCCTCACGGCACTGGATGGAGGGTCTCCACCCCGGTCAGGGACCACAGAGGTTCAGATCCGGGTCTTGGACAGCAATGACAACGCCCCCGAGTTTGCTCAGGAGCTTTATGAGGCTCAAGTCGCCGAAAACGAATCCCTCGGTTCTCTGGTTATTACAGTCTCAGCGAGAGATTTAGATGCAGGATCCTTCGGGGAGGTAACATATGCCCTATTTCAAGTTGATGACGTTAACCAACCCTTTGAAATAAACACAAACACAGGAGAAATTCGACTGAGAAAAACGTTGGATTTTGAGGAATTTCAGTCTTATCACGTGGATGTTGAGGCCACCGATGGCGGGGGACTATCAGGAAAATGCTCTATAGTCATCAAGATCCTGGACATGAATGACAATGCCCCTGAATTGACAATGTCGTCACTCATCAGCCCCATCCCTGAAAACCTTCCAGAGATGATAGTGGCAGTTTTCAGTGTATCAGATGCAGATTCTGGAAATAACCAACAGGTTATTTGTTCTATAGATGACAATCTCCCCTTTCTTCTAAGACCATCGGTGGAGAATTTCTACACCTTGCTAACAGAAGGACCTCTGGACAGAGAGAGCCAGGCAGAGTACAACATCACCATCACCGTCACCGACTTGGGGACTCCCAGGCTGAAAACCCAGCACAACATAACCGTGCTGGTCTCCGACGTCAACGACAACGCCCCGGCCTTCACCCAAACCTCCTACACCCTGTTCGTCCGCGAGAACAACAGCCCCGCCCTGCAC